CTTCGTGCTTTAGAATAGCCATTTAAGTCTGTAGTAGACTTAAATTTTATAAAAAATCGTTGTTATTTATTTAATAAAGAAATTTTTAATGCTATCTTTTAGATAAACGATTTCGATTTAAAATTAAAAATGAATAGGAGGATCAATTGTTGAACGTTAAAGTTCAATGTGATATAATAACTTTCTTTCTTCTTCAAGAAAAACTAAATAGCAAGACGCTGAATGAATTTCTGAATTTTTCCCTCTTCGCCGGGCTGGTCATCATAGAGGTCCAAGATAAACGACACGGAAAATATTGAAATCGAGAGTAAACGACATCGGTTTAAAATCAAAAATAGGCAGTGGGATCAATGTTGAAGAGTGAAATTCGCCGGGAATAACGGTATCAGTTTTGATTCTGAAATTAGACAGGGAAAACTTTCGGTCCGCGACACCGCGTCGCCTTTAATCGGCGAAAATTCGAGCCACTTGGCGGGTTATATACCGGGTGATCTCGATATAACGGCGTAACATGCGGTAACAGCGACGGCGCGGCGACGCTCTGCACCTGCACCTCGCAGAATTTAATCACGATGGTTACTCTGTCCGACCGAAACCAATTATTGCGCAGACGTACTCACACACGCGCTTACACCGCCCAGTTATGCGGACATTCTCTACGCACCTATATAAATCTCCGTATCCCCCCGTATGGATATAATGTACCGCATTAATTTCCCTCTGAACGCATGCGATTCCGTATTTGTCGCCCACCAAAATGTCCGACCACCGGCTATGTTACTCTATTACTAGCCAGACATCATTGGTAATTCGTTTAACGTTTAGGGATTTTGCCACGCTCGATGAAAACTGTAGATAATGTTTGATTCAACACATTCGCCGGTTTATTACATTCTGGTAGAATTATAATAGAACTCCATTCTTCCGGGCTCGTTTACTATAAGTAAATTACTAATGTTCGTATCGTTGATCAGTCAGAAGAATAATACATCTAAAAGAAGAGCATCGATTTTGAGATATCTGTAAAATTACATTGATCGTACGAAGATTGTCGTTACTTAGAAACTATTTATAGCTAAGTAGCTGTATTCTATATGAAACTTAATTTCATAAAAAAATTTATTTCTTCCAACTGTGCCGTGCTTCTAGCGAAGCTAGACTAATTTCCTAGAAATGTTACGAACGAGATCGGTAAACTCTCTGTTAAACGATAAACTCAAAAAATAAATCCAACCCAGTAAACTTGGGATACCATTATCGCGAATTTTATTTCTCGATCCAATCGCTCTGTCAAAGTAAAGCGAGATCCCGACGCCTGAGCCTGAATCTCATTTCGTCACCGATCCGGGCACTGGAACTCAACCTCCAGAAGTCACCACCCTCTTACCGTGGCACGACGTCGTCGTTTAACCTCTATCTCCAGTATCCAGAGTTCCCTTTCATCGCTCTGTTCTCTAGGCGGCGGTCGCATCTTAAAACAGAAGTTGCTCGGCGTAGCTTAGACGGTTGACGGGTGGAGAGCCTGGAGGAAGAAGGGTGCGCGATTCTGTCTGGTAGCATGGACGGATGGAGGAAGAGGGAGGGTGGGCGAAGGTGGGCCCCGGGGGCGAAGGAGAACGATGGTGTTGGCACTCTCGGGGGCCATTATTGATTGTTGTTGATAATTAGCCGGTACAGGCGCGTCAATCACGAGGCAAGGCGAGGTTATTAGGCTGTTGGTTAGCACCGTTCCGATCGTACACGTACACGCACGCACACACGTGCACAAGCCGTCACGCCGGATACGTTGTGCAGAACGTGCACAGGTGTCCGTTCTCCGTACCGTGTGTGTAGAAACGTGTGCACGAGCACGCTCTGTTTGTACGTGTCTGACTACATTGTATACACCACTGCGTGCGTGTATGTGTGTGTGTGTGTATGCGCGCCGCCATTGAGCCACCCGATTACCCCCCACAATTCGATCTAATGCGCTACGCTGCGATGCGAGAGAAGGTTAATTATGCAGTTAATGAGAGGCTGAATATATATATACCCCCACGGGGTGTCGGGGGCAGTGCCGATGAAAAGAGTATCATTTGGATCCCGTGGCATCGTATTCGATTGTTGAATTTGGTTATGGTCGAAGAACGCCGGAAAACGGTGCTCCATTCCCTTCCCGTTTTAAATTAATCGCGTTAGAACGTTCGGCGGCAGGAGGGGGCGCGGAGAAGGGAGAGAGGGAGGCCAGTGTTTAAACGCGTAGCAACAGTCGGTGAAAACTCGGTGCTTTTTGATTGCCTGGAAAATTGATATGAAACCCGGCTGAGCGTTTTGTCCCCGCGTATACAAAAGCGATACGTATAAATATGCATACGAAACGAAACGACGAGCAGAGGGAGGCGAGCCCGGCAACCGGCGGTGAATTTTCGGTGCACAACTGGTAGCAACGTAGATCGTAGGGAGTAGGTGTGGTGCAGTTTGATTGACGAAAATGTCTATTCGGCAGCGCGCCCGGGTGGCCGCGGGAACACTCGTTGGAACGAGGCGCGCTGCTTCCGCAGAATCAATTTCTTCCCCCGATAACAGCGCGCTCGTGTCCTCCCCCCCGGATACCGTAATAAGGAGGGATAATGCGAGAGATGGCGGTAATTTACAGCGAAAAGGAGCGTGTAATAGTTTGCCGGAAGTGCAGGTTACGCGGTTACGTGTTACATAACTTGCTTAACGACGACGAAATGTCGTCTGACGAGACGCCGAGCTACTCTCCCTTCTCCGATTATGAGAAGACGTGTCAATTGATCCTTCAAATTGTTCAAATCTTTCCGACACGATAATTTTTACGAGCAACCCGAAACTGAGACATCTTTCGTTAACATTTAATTCTTGGTTAAAACTTGTTTTATTAACAAGTGAAATGTTACGTTGGCGCAGAATATTCGCAGAATATACTTCGAGGTCTGTCGAAAGTTGAAAATATTTTTTCGAAACACAGTTGTCGACTTAAACTTACACATCGCAGGAAAATTCCAACGAAAATTCGGTTTTTCCTTTTCGCAGATAGTCCCCTCAATTTCCGTGTCGCGCTCCGTTGAACATCGTGCCGAGCAAATTGCATCGAATCGTTGATTCCTACGAGATAAATTGCCGGATTGTGCGTCACGAAATTTACCGACACGTGTATCCGTGTGTCTCGCTTTCGATCGCAGAATACGTCTCGATAACGAGTCCCATCATCGTCAGTTAATTACACATTGACGTAGAACTTGTCCGTTCCCCCTGAAAAACACGTAACTCGTGCGCGTTAACAGCACGGACAAGACGGCTCGTTTTCTTTCTCAACGCTTTATCTATTAAAAATAACGTTCGTAACGAATAGAATTGTCGCGATAAGCGCGATAAATCGCGACTCGTAAATTTCCCTTTCTCCGGCTGCTCCTTTCACGATAGCGTCGTTAACAGCGGGAGGAATATACTATGCTCGTCGTGAAATAACTGTGCTCGCTGCTAAACTCGCGACAGATAAGCCTACGTTTTCGTTTTAACACAGCAGTCTCGCAAATGCAATCTGGCCTGCAATCTTTCACCTGCCACCCGGTATACAAACGCGACCGTCGATCCAACCGCTGGCGTGTAACGTTGTGCCAATGCGACAAGCTTTTATGAACCTTACGTTGTTGATTCTCGGTGGAAGTCTCTTGTCTCGTCCGTTGAACTTTTGACCGTCGATTCTCTCTCTCTCTCTCCCTCTCTCTCTTTCGTAAGAGGAACGGCTTATTATTGCAGCTGTTTTAATACAGGCGGATTAACGGTTAATGCGCGGATAAAACCGTTCGATTAGCGGCAACTTTTGATATCGGACAGATTCGAAATTACTCGCGAGTTTGGTAAACTCATTACGATCGCGCAAATATTGAAACGGATAATTAATTGTTTCGCGTAAGATTCGGCGAAATTCGGCTGTAATTTGTCGCACGTTCCCGTCGAATCGATTACGGATATTGTAATCGTCCAGGTAATAATTACGAATTCGCGTGAATCAATAACAGCCCCGATAGAGGCCGATGGGGCGAAACGGTAAAATTAAACAACACCCCCACCGACAGGCAGGGAAATTGGCGAGCCTTCCCGAACGATTTGTCTCACGCGACTTCTGAATGGCGATTTCGCAGCTCTAGCCTGTCTCGCTATAAAAACGTGGCGTTCCCGTTAAATCGATATAATTCCTACGAGTGGTCCGAGACGTTGCGAGAAATACAGTAGATCAAGATTGAATCGAAAATTGCTTTGGAAGAGTCATCTTTCGAATCAAATTCGATTGAAAAATTTCGAAATTAAAATCCGGCGCCGGTATTCCGATAAATTTGACGAGAAGCCTATCTTCTGACAATGATTTCGAACAACTTGTTGGATTCTTAAAAATAGATCAATCTGAGGAACATTCACACATGCAAATCACGATTTAATTTGATAATGAACAGTAGAACTACCGACTAAAGTATATTAGTAAAAAATATGTTAATAATACGATAAAGAACACGAGCTTTTATCGATATTAAAAATCGCTCCAGTATCTATCATCACAAATATATAAAATTTCCACAGAGAGTTATAAATTCGATCGCTTTGGTAATTTCAGTGTTAAATAAAAGGACGCGAGACTGACTTTGCAAACTTGAAGTGTAAAATATATTTTTGACTTTAATCATTGCTAAATATCTGTCATTACTTGCGACCGAAATCGAGACCAGTTAGAAATTTGAAACGGGCGAGAGGGGGGAGGGGGGAGGAGGAGGATTCCAAAGGGAAAACGGTGGAAGTCGAACGGTGCACGCGAATTCAAACGCGAGAAATCGAGCCCGATTCAGCGCCGAGTGATGAGCGTTGCAACACTTGTAATAGCTAGTATTATACGCGCATAATAGAGGTAATAGCCGGGACTGGGATAAATCGATCACCATTACCGTACCTATTAACCGTAACGACCGTTTCCGAGGAGACCTGACCACTCCCGTGGGTTCCAGGTGAGAACAGCTGCAACTCCACCGGCGGCGGCAGCGACGAGGAACTCGGAGCAGGCTGCGGGGACGATTTAAACGGGAACGGCGGCAAGAAGAAGCATCGTCGAAACAGGACGACCTTTACCACCTACCAGCTGCACGAGCTCGAGAGAGCCTTCGAGAAATCTCATTATCCGGACGTGTACTCCAGGGAGGAGCTCGCTATGAAAGTCAATCTTCCGGAAGTTCGCGTCCAGGTGAGTTGCAACACATACAGCGAGTCGTCTACGCGAAAATATTCAGTATTTTTCGTCGATACAGTCGATTCCTAGAAGAGTCCCAGTGATATTAAAACGAAAGGGTACGCGAACAGGAAAGAAATAAAAGTCTTTATTCGAATTAAAGTAGATTGCTTGTACCCGCGTGTGAAGAATTTCTCTGGAACTGTAAAAGGTACATGTAGTTGGTTTCATGGTTAGTTATCGTTTTAATATCACTCTGGTATAGTTCTGGCATTAGCGTGAAGTTAAATTGTAGGGTATTTTTATCCTATCGCTAGATCTGGAATTTATTCTGTAATTTGGAATTTGCTTCGAACGGTTTTGCCTCGCAAGTTTCTTTCCGGTTTTGTTGGAAAAAGAAAGAAAAAACAATCGCGTTATTAAATAATGTTGGGACAGGGTTGTTGCAACGCGGAGAGAGTACGTTGTCACAATATTACAAAGTTTCGAGAATTACCGACGTAAACGCGAAGGTGGGCTCGCTCGGCAATCGGAGATCTGTCGGTGAATCAGCGATTAGGAAGAGTAATTGTCTGAAATCGCGTTGTTAATCGGCGTACAGCCTGAGATCGTTTTCTCGCGGGGCAAAAACGAATATTCATACATTTTTAAATAATCACCCGACCGCGGAGTCACGCGACTAACGAGGTATTAACTCGTTAACCCTCACGACACCGGCGCGCGATCCTGTTACCTTAACGATTTCACAAAAAAAAAAAAAAAAAAGAAAAGAAAAAAAAAGAAGGGCGGGAATGAACGAACGGTCAGAAAGGCACTGTATAACGCGCCATAACTTCCAACGATGTTTATTAAACAACCGCCATCTCTGTCACCTCGCTCTTTTATCAAAAACCAAAGCCTGAAAAAAAAAAGGAAGGGAAGAAATGGAAAAAAAACAACCATCTCTGATCCAATGTTTCCCCTTTACACCCTCGGAAAAACGTCACTGGAAAAAGAGAAAAGGTAAAAAAAGAGAGAGAGAGAGAGAGAGAGAGAGAGAGAGAACCGTGCCCCGACAGAGATTGTTCCATCAAAATGAAGCAAACATTTTTCCAGTTCGGTCGGTCTGCCTTTTGCGCGATAATTCACTGACTAATAACACCGGCGAGTTGACAAATTACCTATAGGTTACAGCTTTTATGAGTTTTAAAAAAACTCGTAGGAAATAATACAGCGTCGGTTATGATACTTGACAAACGATTTCCAAAGCGATCCGCTCGTTTCCAAATTTATCTTTCTGCACGGGAATATAAATCTGCATAAATGTTTTCATCTACGAACTTCTACTCCGCGATTTTACAGTAAACACGATAACATCATATGTTGCCCTCAAATTTATAAAATTTCACTTTCTGATTTCAATTACGCTTTTTTTTTTTTTTTTGAACTTGAGGCTCGTGATTTGCGCTTCGAACAAGTGATGTTGATTGGCGCGAGGAGAGCGTGAAATTAGCATCCTCTGCCGTTTAGACGCGTTAGATTCGCAAACGGGAGGAATCGATGGCGAATCGACCGATTTATTATTTTCCACCGGTTAGGCTGGCTCTTTCCCTGTTACGCTGGAACCAAGCGGATACGAGTGTCGTGCGCGCGGCCAGCGAGCGGGCCGAGTTTAATGGCTGCGTTTCCGTGCAAACAATCGGAACAGCAATCGCCGGCTGACGCTGGCCCCGACGTATTAAACTAAATTAAATTAATTATGTGCGTGACAGCGATAAAAGCACGCAGTCGCATGCGACGACGCATCGATTAGACTCCCGAGGGCACGCTTCCCGACCGTGCCACCTACGAAAGTGTACACCGGCCGCGTGTACACTTTGCCAGACAATAACCAAGCCAACTTTCCAAGCGCACCTGCGTTTCTTTTTATTTAAACAAAATTTTTTTTTTTTTTTTACGAATTCGTCTTCTGTTTTATGTCTGATTTTTCCATTCGGCGATACTATTAACAACATTTACGAGACGATTTTATTATTATTTCGTCACGTGCAACATACTGTACGATAACAGTGAGTCGTTGTCAAAGACTGTTGTGATTTAGTCGTTTTAGCAGAAATTAGTAACGAGGGAAATATAAAAAGTGAATTGCGTTGAATCGATCGCAACGATTTTTATTAGACACGTCAGGTGATTTAGCAACGAACGTTTCTGGTCTTGTCGACGATCTTTATTTAACCACCTCGATTGGAAGCTCGGATCTCACGTTCAATTTATTTCTCGCTCGATATTTACTCCGAGAATGGAGTTAAAGGAAAGGAGTTAATCCGATTCTCATGAGATCGTTTCATCAACGAGGCTGATTCCATCATGCCCGACAAACGAATGGTCGCGACACACTGTCGACTCGAGCTGCCTTGGAAACGAGCGAAAGCAGAAGAAAATGCAAAAAATATTTCATAGCGCCGCGGCTTTGAAAGGAGAAGTAACATCTCCATTTCAATCGCCCAGCAGCCAAACAGCCCTAGTCGTCAGGAGGCAAAGCAATTAATAACAACCACCGAAAGAAAAGGGGGTGTGCCCCATAGGCGAAACGTGAGAGAAGGACGGGGGATAACGCGGCGACGGCGGCGCTGCTGCTCTCTAGAAGAGAGTTGCAATTAAAAATTTAAATTGCGTTTAAAACCTGCCGGTGCTGCTGCCGTGCACCACCACCACCACCACCACCACCACCACCACCACCACCATCACCATCACCATCACCACCGTCCCCATCGTCGCTCTACTTTTTTCAATTTTCTCCAGAAGGGTTTGCTGACCTCTCCCTCTCCCTTTCTCTCCGTCGCTTAACATCGCTGCCCTTTTCGCTACTTCTGACAAGAGAGAGAGAGAGAGAGAGAGAGAGAGAGAGAAATGGAAAGGAAGAAAGAGAGAGAGAGAGAGAGAAAGAAAGAGGAAAAGACTGGAAAGCGAGGAGCTGGAAGGTGGATGAAGGGAACGCCAGCGCGCCCCTAAGGTACGCACCTAATCGCTTAAGCTTATTACGCGAGGCAGACAAGGCGAAGGAATCAGCCGCGAAGCTACGAGTAAAGAGAGCACGAGAAGGCACGGGGTGGATCAAGGATGATCGAGGAGGGTGAAAGAGGGAGAGAGAGAGAGAGAGAGAGAGAGAGAGAGAGAGAAGGGGCTCGGTAGGCGCAACGAAGAGGCGGACGCACGTTCGGTTTCATCATTTTTAATTGATAGCGCACGCCAATCCTATCTGTCGGATTTATTAGGCCGCTCGACGAGATGGTTTTGCGGAGGGGTGGAAGGGTGGCGAGGGGGGAGGGCGATAGCGAAGGGAAACGGAGCTTTTATTGGACAAAACCGGGTTGTTTCGGTGGTAGGAGGGGGCCCCGGTTGGTGGTCACCATAGCCCCGATTGTGTGACCGGGGAAAACGCGTTTTCCAGATTTTCCATGCATCCTCTCTGCCTCTCGAGCATACACATACGTACACGGTAATACGTGTACGTACGGTTATGCGCGTGTATGCACGTGCAGGCAGATTGATTGCTGGGATTAACACTGTTTTCTCGCGATAATTATCGTCCACGGAGTGCGGAGATTTTATTGGATACACAGCTACGCTCCGCCTCGGCCGATATCGAAACGTCGAATTGCTTGTTAAGCTTGTTATTGTAATTCAGGTTTACGCATCGTTTTCAATGCAGCGCGCGTAATCGGCTCGCGGAGAGGAAAAGAATCGCCGGCAACGCCGCGGTTTAAATTGTTTCTTGAATGAAAAACGTCGGGGAATGTTCGTCGTGATTGACAATGTTCTTCGAGTTTACGGTTCCGGTTCGGTCGATCATTCGTGTTCTTGACAGATTTCGTTAATTTCGAGCGACGTGGCGACGTTTAGAAATTGAATTAATCGCGAACAAGTGGAGTGAGAGAAGGAAAAAGAAAAGGTGGAGATTTTTGATTCGAAAATGAACGACACTTGGTACACACGCGATCGTCTTTGAATTAAAATTCCAATAAATTTGTTTCTGCACTATGATGATCAGAATATTAAATTCAAGTAATCCAAATGTTTGTAAAAAGAACTATCGAGAAAATATAACAATTAATATTGCATAAATATATTTTTATTTTATCGAAAATGGCTGCACGTTCTTACTGAGGGGAAAAATAAAAAAATCTAACCCATCATTTTAATGACTCAAACTCAATAGGTTCTAATGTTAAGGTCACGTGCAGTTTTCTCATGACTGAGAGACACTTTATTCTCGCCATTGGGTAATTTTATTCTCGTTCATTCCTCTTCCGTGCGCTTAACCAGAGAATAACGAAAATTTCACCGTCGTACATTACACGATTAGGCGCATCGTCGACGCGCGTTTTGCCTCGCCGTCACGCGATCGTAAGTTCGGTTGTAAAAAACGCGGCATAGGCCAACGATTTGCCACAACTGGAATCGATATAAGGGCGAGTTTCGCTGGAAACACTCGTAGAAATCAGCTCCATCGTGAAACACTTGCCAACCGGGAATAATCGTGGTGATTATCATTCGATAAATTACAAATAGGAAGCGAAAAATCTTATTCCACAAATTTATCGCTGTCCGAAACTAACTCTTGATTTATAGAATTGACCATCGTGATTTCTGAACGAGCTATCAAACAGTTAACATGATAAAGTTAAGATGATGAAGTGAAGTGCGACTCATTATCTAAGAAAACTTGTCGCAGAGAAATCGCGACGAGACTGTGACCAGATCGCCACGGGGGAAACGCGAATCGATGGCCGGCGTATTTTCACGAAGCGAACGGAAAAAGGAGAGAGAATGAAATCGACAATCGGTCGTGGAAAAGGCACGAAGAGGCGGGCGGAAAAAAGCGGGCAGATTGATTTTTCGCGGTAGGCCAACTAATTTGAAGAGAGAGAGAGAGAGAGAGAGAGAGAGAGGGAGAGAGAGAGAGAAAGAGAGAGAAAGAGAGAAAGAGGAAGCGGCCGCGACGTGGCCGGATGGTTCGATCGTTCGACGCGCTC